TCCTCTACTGATGCTGAGGACATGACAGTGGCTGAAAGATAGTCGACGACGGGATTGGAATTTGTCCTGATGCAAGTCGAGGCGTTTGTCCTGCTGCCTTCCACCTAGGCGGGGCCCTGTCGAGAGGGGCGAGGACGACAGTCGATATGTCCTGGGGAGAGAGCAATCTTGCGTCGGATGTCCCTGCTGTCGGGAGTTGTCGAGACGATGAGGAGGAGTAGGAAACTCTCATAAGAGCCGGCCTGAGGGCGAGAGAAGGGGGAGGGAACACATGTTACATATCAGTTGAACTCGGAGTGGGTAGGACAGTTGTGGCGAGCACGGTAGGAGTGGTAGAGTAGATCCCCAGGACGCATGGACGCTGTACAAGTGTGCGATCTTTCGGAGCCAAGCAAGCCATGGAGGGGCGGGCGATGCCTGTCGAGGACAACGACAAGGATCTCTCGATATGTGTGTCCCAAGCTTCACGAGCGCCCCTCCACACCCCCCTTTGGTCTCTTCCCTTCCTCACCCACATCAAGCCACAGTACCCACCGCACGAACCGGCTCCCTCGTAAGCGTATGACGAAGATGAGGGATGTGGCCTGTAGAGACATCAGAGGCCAGGGGGACGAGGCTCATCTGGACCCGGTGGTATCAGAACCTGCATTGGTTCGCCGGTAAGGTAGCCGAGCAAGATGGGATGGCCAACCCGGCGGCGCACCTACGCTGCGTACATGTAAACGGTACGTATCGATGACAGCTCGAGCCCCCTCTCGAGTACCTGCCGATTGTACCTTTTTTGGCCGGCGCCCGATGCTGGAGGCTAGCTGGTGCTGGCAAGAGGAGGAAACGGAAGCAGAGCAAACTCGCGGGCACTGCCCACGGCATAGCCGTGTCCAGTGTCAAGCCGCTCCCAGACCTGCCAGCACATCAGCGCAACCGGTGGCTGCGACACCGTAAAGGCTCAGCCGAATATGAATGGGGCCATTGTCAAGACACATGGCGTGCAGATGGAGGTAGGGAAAAGAACTGAGACATAGTGGAATGAAAAAGCAAAAACACGATTCTGTCATGCGCACCAGGCAGGCAGGTTGCCAGGTAGCGAACAAACACGCCTCAGAGCCTGCCAGGATGTCTTCTCTCCGCCAGCCTGGAGGCCTGACCTGGGTAGCCGTCGCAGGCACAGTGGTGCGGCGGCGGCGGGCTAGATGCTCCTGTATACCAGAAGTCAGACAGCCAGAATGTTGTAGACACCGTCTTTTCCCCCGTTCTGCCCTTTTCGTACCATACCAAGTACAAGTCCAGCCAGCCCAGAGTCTTGGCTAGAGCCGGGCCAGACTGCCCAATGAGGGACAGGGGCTCGAGACATGTCTTGGAGCGCGACGGCGTACACACTACACGTTACGGGCTCAGCTACCAGCCACTAGCCTTGACGCCATGACCCAGAGTGTCGGTTGGTCGACTGGGTCACGTCGGAGTTTGGAAGTCGCGGTTGGGGAGGAAAAACGTAGACGAATCACGTGTGGGGGGAGCGAGAGAAAGAAAAAGGCGAATGGAATCGAGACCAGAAGCCTGGAACTAGGGTCCGCGTGGTCGGTTGAATGGTTCATACTCAGCTTGTGAAAGCCAAGTGAACGACGGGCGAGCCACAGGTATGACGAGGATACTCGAGCTTGGGTGTGACGAAAAATGCAGCAAGTGTGATGAGTGACTGTGAAGTCAGCACCATGCCCCAACGCCCCCCCTCCTCCATCCTTCGCACTGGGATCAGCCGCTTGCGTTCTTGGGTGTGCTGTGCTGCACTGGGCGTATCTGCACCCGACGATCAACGTCAATGCCAATGCCAAAGTCAACGTTGACCGTTTTGCCTCTTTGCCCACAACCCTCAGTGCCAATCACCGACCGGTTGCGCTCCGTCGGATCACGGGCAGCGACGAGTGCCGAGTGGCGATTGGCGAGTGAGGGACTACGAAAGCGATTAGAAGCAGAAAAAAAACCCACAGTAGAAAAGTACCTCCTGGCATGGTGTCGACCGGCGCCAATCAAGGAACCATGTCAGTGGTGAAGATTGGGTGCGAGTCTAGCCGGCTCGGCTTCTCCCAGTATTGGCTGGCTGTGTAGCCATTGCCGTTGCCCTTTTTCGCATTGCCTCTCGTCGTGACAGACGGCGCAGCTCGCTACTTGACGCCACAAATGCAGCAAGGGAGGGCGTGCCTTGGCTGGTCTCCGTCGTCCAAGCCTTCAGTTGGCATTGATTAGTTCTCTCTCTCTCTCTCTCTCTCTCTGTCTTTCTTCCTACCTCTCTGATTATGAGAGTGATAGACTCATATATTACATTGCTTCCCGAGAGAAGAGCAACACCAGCCTGCGGGGGTTACATGCGGAAGGGGAGATTTGCCATGTCGTCGCCGTCCCAAATCATTGGGTTGATCATGTCGGGTAGTATATTGAGATGCAGGCCGCAAATCATGATATCCCTGTAGCCCCGTCACCTTCACCTGTCCAGCGGCGGTATGAGGAGTGCGGTGGGGGATACACAATGGGGATTACCCCTGTCGTGGTCGATCTCCTTCAGCTAACAACCGAACAAGGTAACCACAAGACCTGTGCACACCCCTCTTGAACGTCCTCCTATGGTTAGACCTTCAGCCAACTTCAGGTACGTGGCGGCTAGCAGCCGCAAGACAACGCGATCGGGCCGGACCTTGCCATTCAGCATCAAGTGCACTTCAGGTACTTGCCTTCAAAGAACAGTAAACCAACGCAGACCAGGTCTCGTCCGGGCCTATCATGCCGTGGGTTTAAGTGCTATCCAGCACGAGGAAGAAGCAACAGGGCAGCCGGCTACCCAGACGGTCCGTCACCCAGTCTCGAAACGCCACGGATAGTTCCTTTTTGTTCGTCGACAGCCCACGCGCACAGCGGACACGCTGCGAGGCCCAGAATATTGAGAGAAACACCCGGAGAAACATACAGGCTACCGGGCGCGCCGAACTTGCACTGGTCGCTCATCGCTCGTTGCCCGTCGCTCGAGCACATCGTGGCTGACTTCGCGCTCATGGGTTCGCCCCTGCTGCCCGCCATTATCTCAAATCATGTGCCGAACACGACGGCTTGTTGTGGCGGGTCTGGCTAAAAATGTAGTGCCTTGTGAGGAGAGGCCCGGGAGTCGGCCTCAAGCGTTCGTTGGTGACCAGCTTTGATAATGTGGGCTGTCTAACGTCGAGCGCACCGGCCGGTACACGTGGGATTCTTAGTCAACTACTGTGGCGTTGACCACCGGTGGTTTCGCATTTCGACACGACTCTGATGATCTAGATCGGCACATGGGGTTGGGCGGGAGAAGGCCACGAGCTGATTTGCAACCCGTCTATCAGGTGCCTGGGCTCGCGTGGCGGCAATGAGCTATCAAGCAAGACACGCCAGGAAAGTCAATCGCCAGATTGATGAATGATGAATCTGTTGCGGAAGCGGTGGTGGCAAAAGACAAAGGATGCAGCAAGGAAACAAACAGAAAGACCCTGTCACCTACTCCTCGACCCCTGATACATGGCGCTGTGACCCATGGGATGGACAGCGGTGCGGCAGTCATAGCTTCGTTGATCATGTGCATGTGTCAGTTGTGCACGGTCGTGAGATCTCCAATTGCGACGAAAAAAGTTGGTTTGGATCCCAGGTGAGTAAGGCAAGCCGAGGCTTGACCAACGGTAGGTGCCGGTTCTCCAGGGAAGGAGTTCGAGTGGTCCCAGGGCCTGCCTCAACCGTACCTGTCGGTCAATCTCTTTGTTGGCTTGAGTTAACCAGTCATGAATACTACCAAGTCATGCCTCAGAGCCCGATGTACGCCCACCTGTTGCCAAATTGGCTTCTGCTGGCTGTCTGTCTAGTGGACGCCGCTGAAGCAGCCAGCTGGGTGGACGATGGATGGCGACCCTTGTGGAGAGGCCAGTCTTCGGACGTGTCCGAGCGTTTCTTCTTGCAAGACTCGAGGCCGAGGGAGCGAGTCGTTAGTCCTTCCGCCAAACCGTGTTGCCGCCGACAGCGCTGAAGGGCCAGAATCGAGGTAGCAGCAGGACCAGAAGGGGTCAGAATTCGAACAGGTGGGCGTCCTGACGTGACAAGACGACGAATGACACTTTTCTTGTGCGAGGGCGTGCATGTTCGCTGTCGAGATGTGACTGGCGAGGTTTTCGAGTCAGCCACAAAGTACTGCACGCTGTTTTCTTTTCTTTTCTCCGCTCAGCATACGTAGCTGGCGTGTTTGGCTACTGCACGCGATTTCCCCAGACAAAGCAAGCAAATGTGACACCCGCGCTTGCTTTTCCTTCTGCCGCCCGACATTCCGAAGGGCCGGTGGCAGGTAAGGGAGGCGGAGGCAGGGCATGCATCGGCTAGCTCACGACTCGAGGGGTGGTTACATCGTAAGGCGAAGCACAGAAAATGACAGAAATTGAGGAGCTGCATCGTACAGGATTGGTGCAGTACCTTATTCTCCGATTGCCGCCCGTTGGCCAGACCTGAGGGACCAAAGGGCCAAAGGGAACGCGAGATGGCGCAGCCCGCGGAGTCGACCCGCCCAAGAGCTAGAGAGCAGCATGGCAAGAAAAACAATGTGAAATCGCATGATTTCGAGCAAAAAGGCGTATGTCGCGCACTTTTTCCGCAGGATGGACTTCATGCAGGCTGGGGCCCTGGCTCGTATCTGTCGCCCTTGTGAAGTGAAAGACGATGAAGAAGATGAAGATGATACGAGACGGCGCGGGATGGAAATGCGCTTAGGTAAGTCTTTCCGGGTGTGTCTTATCACATGATTACATCATCCTCCCATGCGCTCTTATCGTATGTCTACTATGGCGGGGCAGCGATGGATTGCAAATTGATACTCCCAATTGGTGTCATTGCCCCTCCATCATCCTCTCTGGCCGACAACGGAAAGCACTTTCTTGCAGTCACCGGTCTGGGTGCAATCCACGCCTCACGCCCGTTTGACTGCCTTTTTGGCGCCCCTGAGACTCGAAATGCCGTCTGCTGCCGAAGTGCCCCCAGGAGGACCTGCTTCGACACCCGAGGTCAAGATCACGAGCCTGCCCCCTCTGAAGCCTGACCTCTTCGAACGCGCCTGGTCATCGACACCTCACCCTACGCTGCCCCTTCTGGCTACTGCACATGGCAAATCCGTCACCATCTTTTCTCTTGCTTCTCTCGCCTCACACAGCACCTTGACCGGCGGCCATACACGATCTGTCCGATCCGTCTCGTGGAAGCCCAACCTGCCCCCGCACCAACTGTGCCTCGTCACGGGCAGCTTTGATTCCACTGCTGGCGTGTGGCGCTGGGACGGTGATCTTCCCTTATCCGAGCAAGAAGCAGGCGCCTCACGCGAGACGGAGGTGAAGGCTGTATCCCGCCCTTCCCGTGCCGACGCTGACTCGGACGTCGATTCTACGGACGCCAAGGATTGGGAGTTTACGCTCGTCCTCGAGGGCCACGACTCAGAGATCAAGTCTGCTGTGTTTGCACCATCCGGTGCCTACCTGGCCACATGCAGTCGTGACCAGACGGTATGGATATGGGAAGATGTTGGTGCTACCGAGGGCGATGATGAGTGGGAGACGGTCGCTGTGCTGAACGAGCACGAAGGCGACATGAAGGCTTTGGCCTGGTGTCCCGATGTGCCGAATCGCAACAACCGCAGCGGTGTCTATAGCTCTGATGTTCTCGCGAGCGCGAGCTACGATAACACAGTCCGCATCTGGCGCGAGGATGGGGATGGCGAGTGGGTGTGCGTCGCCGTGCTCGAAGGCCACGAGGGCACCGTATGGGGCGTGCAGTGGGAATCGAGGCCGAGGACTGATGGTGCCTTTCCTAGGCTGCTGACATACTCTGCGGATAAAACCATACGAGTTTGGACTATGAGGCAGGAAGAAGACGAGGCCGCGACAACAAATGAGTCAACGACTGCTGCAAGCGACGGTACCTTCCGAGGCGGCCTCGGCGGCATCCCAAACACCATGCGCCAGTCCTTGCGTGAGGATTGGTACTGTTCTGAAGTGCTTCCAACAGCGCACACGAGAGATATCTATTCGGCCACATGGAGTGCATCAACAGGCCTCATTGCGAGCACTGGCAGCGATGGTGTCATAGCTGTGTTTGGGGAGGATGAGAAGGCGGAAGTGGGCAATAGGTGGCGGCTATTGACCACAGTCCCAAATGCCCATGGACCATACGAGGTGAACCACATCACTTGGTGCCGTAGGTATGATGCGGGAACTGAGAGGAAGGGGGGAGGAGGAGATGCTTGTCACTACGGGCGATGAAGGATTGGTGAGGCCTTGGCAGGTCGCTGTGTCAAAGTGTGGTGGTTCCCTCTAAGGCGCCTCAAAGTAGCATATACCAGCCATGTGGCCTCAAGGGCAATCAAATTGTTCATAACGACAGCTGATTAGAGAATAGAAAGTTGATCGGACTGACTTCTTCCATATCAACGTCTCTCTCTCCTTCTCTCTCTGTAGGCCTCGTCAATTCGTAAGGAGCTAGGCATCTGGATGCTCGGTCAGATTCGGTGAGAGCTTTACCGAAATTGTGCCGTCGCGAACAACGTGAACTGGGCCGTCATCGCAAATCTTCGTTTGAAGACCACCTTGAGTAAACACGGCACGGAGCGGTCGCAAGACCCTCGATATTCTCCGAATGCATGCCAAAGGGCCTCGCGCCCTCTCCTCGTCGTCGGTGGCAGCCCGCGCGACCCTGTCTGCAGTGTCCACACGCCGTTGCTTCCAGACTTCTCATCGATTCCGCGCCAATACCCCCGAAAACCCTCCCGCTGCCGACAATGGACGCCAACCAGGCAAGCCAGACGGAGATCAGCCCAGCGCCAGTCGCAAACAGAACAATGCCGTGACGGAATCTCTTGTCGAATCACCGATTCGTCGTGTGCGCGGCAGTGTGTTTTCCTCTGGCCGACAGCGACCACATCGGGCCAGGGTTGTTGATGACTTCCCTCCCATCAAGCTGCCCCAAAGCTTCCTCGATACCAACATATCCGTCTTCGACCCCGCAGAACGCTTGCGTATTCTTGCTGCGGATCCGATCTGGCATAGAGGCTATGTGGGTGCCCAATGGCACGACTGGCTGTGGCATGACCTGGAGGTGGTTCTCGACCAGGTCTCGTTTGACGAGAGCGTCCTACGCACTGCTCAGGCGAGGCTGCTGTCTGGTAACGACCTCGAGGCTGTCTCCAGGCGTATTGGAGTCCTCGGCGAGACGGCACAATGGCTAGATCAATGCCTGGGAGACATGTGGTCCCCTGCATTCACGCGACCATCCTCCGAGTCCGAGTTTCCAAAAGATCTCTCGATCGCCTTTCTGGAGGCCAAATCAACGTCAGATATCGTCTCGATCATTCTGTCACCCGAGAGGAAGGTTGACATACCACGACACAAGCTTCTCTCCAAGGACAAGCGCAAAAAGGTTGCCAGTGATGATGACTTCTTGCGAGCGCGTATCGATGACCATATCCAACGCATCAGCAACCAAGAGGAGGCAAGTGCCGAAAACGAACCTCCGCTGGTCACCGAAAAACTCCCCTCAAGCCTTGAAGAGCATGGATCTCGGATATATAACAACAAACTCCTAGGAGAGTTGGCTTCGGCTGTACGCGCCGAGCTACACCTACGACCCGACGAAAGCTGGGTGCGCCGGGAGCTGAAGAGACCGCTGGTGGTGGTTAACATACCAAACTACAACGGCACGTACCCCTCACAGAGGCTCCTCAAGCGTATTGCGGCACAGGTCGACGCCAACGTCATTAGAATCGACGCTCAGGACCTGGCTGTGCTGGTTGGAGGATATCTTGGCCAGGACTCTGCCTATTATAAAGGCTCCATGTCAATGCTTGCGTATAGGACAGCCGAGATGAATGGCAGACTGGCAAAGGGAGCAGAAATTTCGACTGTCTCTGCGGACGACGAAATGTCAGGGGACATTGAGGCTGCATGGGTGAACATCCGTCAACACGGCTCTGGCAGCGCTTACAAGAGCCCCCTCGAGGAAGAGCTCCAAAAAATCAAGGAAGGCGCCAGAGATTATGTGCTGCCCTCCGTCGATCGATGGGAAAACCTCAAGATCAACGCTGCGTTGGATCACATGGTCCAAGCAGCCATCGCCAAGTCGTCCGAGGCCCAACAGCCACTCATTATTCATGTGGACAACTATGTTGAGCTTACTATGACACTCGAGGGCGCCCTGCTCCTAGGACGACTCCGCAGTATCGTGGACGGGTTGTGGCGCGACGGAAAGCGTGTTGCCCTCGTGGGCACGTCAGCAAACGAGGACCCTTCGGAGCAGTACGTGTCTACGCTGGGGGAGATCGCTGCCGAAGAATGTCTCATCACGTTCCCTCTGCAGCACCAGCGGATTCCGGACTGGCAAGCTAAGAAGGAGCGCCGTGAAGCAATGGACTTTGTGCAGGAGAATCTGCGAAACATTTTAGCAGTGTCGCGATCGATGAACGGCGACTTCGAGTCCGAAAGCGAACAATTCTCTACCTTACTTTCCAGCCTCAACTCAGCACAGAGACTAAGCCAAACCCCGGACGGCATTGACATCGATCTGTCAGCCTTTCCTTCCAGCTTCACCACCTCAGTACTTTCCGGGCCGGACGTGTATCATATCGCTCGGCTTTTCCACGGCTTGAAGCTTAACAAACCCAGTACCAAGGCAGCGCTACAGATTTTTTTGGACGTCATTGGGTCACATAGCGCCAACATTGTCCATGCCAGTAACAAAGCGGACGAGGAAAAGGAGAACTTTTCTTCGTCACGAACAACAACCCAGCAAAAGGCAGAGCCCGAGCGTGTCCAGGTGGGCGGCCACAAGTATAACGAGTTTGAGAAGAAGCTTTTGACGGGCCTTGTCGACGTGAAAGAGATCCGGACCACCTTCGCCGACGTTCACGCACCACCGGCCACCATATCTGCCCTCAAACTCCTCACCTCGCTCTCCCTCGTCCGGCCCGAGGCCTTCGCTTATGGCGTTCTTGCCAACGACAGGCTTCCCGGCTGTCTCTTGTACGGCCCGCCAGGCACGGGCAAGACTCTACTGGCCAAGGCTGTCGCCAAGGAAAGTGGTGCCAGCATGCTCGAGGTCAGCGGCGCCAGCATCAACGATATGTACGTCGGCCAGAGCGAGAAGAATGTCCGCGCTCTCTTCTCCCTTGCCAAAAAGCTGAGTCCCCTTGTCATCTTCATCGACGAAGCCGACGCGCTCTTCGCTGCCCGCGGGCAGTCAAGGTCGCGACCCTCGCATCGTGAGACGATCAACCAGTTCCTCAGGGAGTGGGATGGCATGAGCGACACGAAAGCGTTCATCATGGTCGCGACCAATCGGCCCTTCGATCTCGACGATGCCGTGCTCCGGCGCCTGCCCCGCAAGATCCTGGTTGATCTACCCCTCCAAGAAGACCGCGAATCTATCCTGCGTATTCTGCTCAAGGGCGAGCAGCTCGATGCCTCGGTGTCCATTGAAGACATCGCCCGTCGCACTGTCCTCTACTCTGGCTCCGATCTGAAGAACCTTACTGTCGCTGCCGCCATGACTGCTGTGCAGGAAGAGCTCGAGCAGGCTGCCTTGTATACGGGCTCAGAGCCGTATGTTTACCCTGAGCGAAGAACGCTGCTCAAGCGTCACTTTGACAAGGCGTCCGGGGAGATTGCTGCCAGCATCAGTGAGGATATGGACAGCCTCAAGTCCATCAGGAAGTTTGATCAAAAGTACGGCGACCAGCGGAGTCGCAACCGCAAGCCCAGGACAATGGGCTTTGGTATTATGCCGACCCCGACCGACGCAGAGGATGCCCGCGTGCGGCCAGCTGTGCCTGCATAGGCAGCGAACTGGGCGGTGGCTGTATCGATAGACTTTTGCATTTTGTACGATTACGCTTCTGTACGTCCCTGTACCACCACATTGTCGATTGATGGAAGCCAAATAAAAGGGGATGAGTTGGTCAACTACTGCAACGCTGCTGAGCCCTGAAAGCCATGTGGCTCAATCCTGGTGTCTTGAAAAATGAAATTTATATACAATTTATCCCTTACACAATAGGCCTGGCTCTCGATTAAAAGCACAGGCTGACTTCCTATGATCTCCCTGGCATCGCCTCTATAAACTCCGGATGACATTTACATGATACAAAATGAGCGAGCAAGCGACCCTGCTGTGCCCTGGCCAGCCAATCTATTGGTTTTCGGTCGTGGCCTGGACACCTTCTGCAGCCAGAGCACGCTGGTAGTCGGCCTGTGCCTTCTTCAGGGCATCAGTAATGGGCTGCATCATCTGGAAGACAGCCTTCTGGCCGCCCTTGACATGTTTAGGGTGCCAGCTCTTGTCTTTGATGCGCGTCCTCTGGTACTTGGCCTGAATCTCCGCTGTCTTAGCTTCGATGAGTGCTTTCCTGGCCTTTTCGGCGTCGCCCGCCACGGCATGGATGCGTTCTTCGGACCGCTTTAGTGACTCGACCAAATACTGCAGCTCTGCGGCTCGGTCCGGGTCGCCGGAGAGGAAAGCGGTCCAGAACTGGTGTAGGAATTCCACCGTCGTAGCATGCGTCAACTGGCAGCGCTCAGCGAGCTCAGGCTGCAGTCCCATCAGGTCAGTGGCGTCTGAGCCGGTGCCGTACTTTTCCATGCGCCGCCGTTTGACGCCGGCCATGACATCGTCCTCGGCCAGCTTTCTCGTTGCTCGGGAACCGACGCGCGGGGGCTTCCTTGTTTCTTCGTCGCTGTCACTTTGGTCATCGACGCTGATGCCAGCGTGCAGATCTAGTGCGCCAGAGTTGTCCGTCGCCATAAGACGCAACTCGCGACGGACGCTGGACAAGACGTCAGCGGCAACCTGCCTGGAAAAGATCCGAGCATTCGCAGATTGCGTGTCCTCGTGCTTGGAGAAGAAGCGGCTTTGCTCCTTGACGTTGAGAATCACGCGCTGTTCCTCGACATCGCCTTGCAAGTCTCGCAGCGCCAGCTGGCCGAAAGTGGCATCTTCGTTCCCGTTCGTCTGCTCTGCCTCAATGTCGGACGGGGCGACGTTTGCCATGATCTTTTCGCTCAAACTGTTGAGCGTCTTGACGATGAGAACGTTCTTCCTGGGCCGCATCTCAAAGTCGGCTTGGTTGCCGCTTCGAAAACCACCTTGGTTCTCTTCATTGGCTTCGACGTTGATGATGTTCGGCACGCTTTGTGCCATGATCCTGCTTTGAAAGCCCAGTGTGTTTTCGCTCTCATCATGGTTGTCAAAAAGGGGGTCTCGGACGATGCCCTCCTTCTTCTCGTCTTGCACCTTGTCGCCCCTCAGGGTTCGTGACAGCTTGCTGAGGAAAAAGCGTGACCAGAACTCGGCCTCGGTGATCTTGGGCACGTTTTCATTGTAGAGACGCTTGATGAGTGGGTGCTGGCTGAAAATGAGCTGCACCTGCTCGACGCTGATATTCAGCTTGAGCTCCTCACCCTCTGTCCGTGGCTTGATGGTTGACAAGACGTTGTAGGAGCCCCTCTTCTGGTTCATCTCGATAGCGTGGGCTCGCAGAAGGTTTGTGCGTGTGGACCAGAATTGGGAGTTGAAAGCCGCATCAGAGATAGAATCCGGCTTGGTGGCGCGGGCATCAACATAGGTCTGGTAGAGATTGCGGTCCGCCTTCATCAGAGACTGTTGAAGTTCAATGTCGCTCTTGAGCTGGCCGTCGTCAAACCAGCGTGGCGGGGCTGGCTTTGAGTTGACCGAGCTCGCAAAGGCCATGGAGGCAGAGACGCCGCCGTTGCCCTCGCCATTGGCGTTGGGTGTGCCCGTGGACGATGCCGGCTTCGGCAGGTTTGGGTCGCCTGATCGCAGGTCCTGTAGTAATTTGGACAGGACATCTTTCACGGCGTTGGCCTCGGCGCGCGCATCCGGAGACGTAAAGTGGAATGAGTACGGTGTCTGTTCAGTCGCATCTGGTGCCTTTTCTATAATCCGCAGCATGACTTTAGCCGCGGTATCTGGCGTCTGTTGCAAGTCTGTCAACGTGTCAGCGGTGAAGCGGGCGGCCAACCTGGAGGCACAGCAGGCCGTGATGGCATTTGCCCACCCCATGTCACTTACTTGAGATGTTGGGGAGCAGAGACACGTGGTGTGCGTGCCGACATGTGTTCAGTGACCGTGGCATCTGATCAGCAGACAGAGTCAAGACGCGTCCTTCTCTGAAAGGCTGCCCGACCAGAAGGCAACGGCCATGATCCCTTACTTGCTGGACTAAGGTAGGTTGTGGAAGAGCAGTGGAATTTGTCGTGTCGAGAATTCCAGAGCTCATGACCCGACTCTAGTCATGAGCATGGCAGGTGGAGCGGATCGTGCGCCTCAGTTGCTGGTGTGTGTTGCAAATGGAGACGGCCTGGCCTGCCTACGCTTTCCTCCCCAGCGGATGAATCTGTACGATGGTGCGAGGCAGGACCCAAGAGAGAGAAGAACTCGCAACGACCAAGAAACGGCAGTATGTGTGGCAGTCTCTCTCTCGGCTTTATGGACGTAGACCACTAGTCATGAGCGAGGCAAGTTGGGTGAGCTGCCTAGGCATCCATTTAGTCGACACTCGAGGCTTGTCACTCGTTGGTGGACAAGGTGGTTGTGACGAGCACCAGTGAGCTTCTGCGTGATGACGAGACGGCAGCTCGTAGTGGCTTTGGCACCAGCCACACAGAGCTGCCACACATTTTTCGGCAGGCGAGGGATGGTGATCTGTGTTTACGGGGCAGTCGGGGTCTACCAGCCAACGCCGAGAGTTCAGTGGGCGGGAGAGCCGTGCAGAGGAATAGGAGGCAGACTGTGCGCCAGCCCCAGCAGGCTTCGAATCAAACTGCGTACCTAATATGAACGAATCCTACCTCTGATTTGCATCGGTCAAATACCGAGTGGTCATGCCTCCGTGAAGAACAAGGGATGTCACAGTGCTCACTTCATGGATGCGACGCGGATGATTTTCATCTGGAAACACAACACAAGATGCGGCAGCTCACATGGCGTCTCCGGGGCCACCCCAGAGACTGCAAGAATAGCACAGCAAGACTACCCACCATATCATCAGGAACAGTCAGGGCAGAGCACAGGACGAAAAAGAGAGCGAGAAAGGTCCAAGCTGAAGCTCATGCGACAAATCGAAACGAGAATAGATGCACTGTGCGCGACACTCGCCCCCCTCCCCCCCCTTAGCGCGACTTGTTTCGGGTGCTATGGAACTCGGAGGGCTCTGAATGGCCAGTCACCTCTGCTGCCGGTAGCCCGTTCGGTTTTGCCGACGAGCTCTGCTGTGACGGCAAGAACCGGCCAGGTCTCCAGGTCTGCTACTGACCAGGCTTTCCAGGCTCACTTTTAGAGCCCTGTCCAGTATCTACTACGTCGTCGCCCTTCTGATCTCTGCCTCCTTTTCCCTCCTTTAGACAAACCTATCGTTATCACCTTCCAGGACATCCACCCCGTCCCCCCTCCCTCTCCTTTTCTCCTTGTTCGATCTGCTCCGCCATCATGCTGCGCAGCTCGCTGAGCAAAGCCAGCACTCGGGTGCTTCAAAGCTCCCGGTGCGCGGCCCCTTCATCCCGTCGCTTCTCGACTCTCCCTACCACGCCGCGTAACGCCGCGACACAGACTCTGGCCGCAAGCCGCCGACCCCTGAGCTTGACCGCGAGGAGGCATTACGCCAGCGCCACCGACAATGCTCCCGATCCTAATGATAACTTCCTCTCCGGAAACACCGCCAACTACATTGACGAGATGTACATGCAGTGGAAGGAGGATCCCAAGAGCGTCCACGTCTCATGGCAGGTCTACTTCCGCAACATGGAGTCTGGCGACATGCCCATCTCCCAGGCCTTCACTCCGCCGCCCTCTCTCGTGCCCGCGCCACTGGAGGCGTCCC